CCAGTTGTGAGGATTTTTGTTTTCTTTATGTTGAGGTGTAATCCATACTGAAGGCTGTGGTCTTTGATCTTCATCAGTAGGTACTTCAAGTCCTCTTCACTTTCAGCAAGCAAGGTTGTGTCATCTGCATAACACAGGTTGTTAATGAGTCTTCCTCCAATCCTGATGCCTGATGTTCTTCATATTGTTCAGCGTCTTCGGTTATTTGCTTAGCATGTAGATTGAATAAATACGGTGAAAGGATAAAACTGGGGCTAGAGGGCCATATTAAGTAATTCACTACACTGCAGTGGGGTTCCAAGAGAGATTGAAGCAGACTCAGCTTAGTGTTCTCTGCAGTGAGTTCTTTCTGTATGCTTTAGTCTCTGGTTAATTTAGAGATATTTAGCTTTCTTAATTTCATTTTTTCCAGACTCTCCTAGGTATGAATACTTTTGAGGCTGTTAATGGGATTAAAAGAAAAGGAAGCTTATAAAAGTCTGTGCCATCCGTTTATTTATGTATTTGAGAAAGCTATTGTTTTTTTATGTGACGAAACAAATATTACGCACAAGGATTAACCCTTTTTCTTTTCTGTGTATCTTAAGCTGGAAAATGATTATCCGGAGAAGCCAGGATAAAAGGAAAAATGACTTTGAGATGCACTTTCTTAAAATAACTGAAGGAGTGACCTCATGAGCCAGCTGATAGCTTGGGTTTGCAAATGGATACATTTCTATTAGCCTGCTGCTGGATGCCGCAGAGCCAAATATATATGGAGTGTATTATATCATATCCTGTAGGCAGGAGACTGTCTGGCAGAGGGGATACTTAGAGAGGTGAAGTGGCCGGCTCTGCAGAAGAATGGCCGATGTAAATACTTTCAACCAGAGCCACCTTTTTTATGTAAACGTGACTGATGTGGGCTCGTGAGTCCCTATTATGTAGCAACTTGTATAATCTTCTGATAAATAATGTTTAGTGTTTATTATAATAAGAATTATAAGAACACCTGACATGTAGGATTTTCAGTATAAAAAAATGCTTCCGTGCTCATTTTCCCATTAATACTTAAGTATTCCCATTTCTGTTTTTTCTTTTTCTATTTTACAGCTACAGACCCATGCCCTTGAGTCTGCCACATTGCTAAACGTCCTCTCTTTTTGGTCTTAAGCTGCAGAGGCATGTGTCCTTTGTTGGAGGATGCTGCTTATCTCTGGAGTGTTTAAAGGAAAGCAGTAGGCCTGTGGAGGAGTTTTAAGATTACCCATTACCTGTTGCTGTTGAGTTGATTTCAACTCATAGTGACTCTGTAGGACAGAGTAGAACTACCCCATAGGGTTTCAAAGGCTGTAATCTTTACGGAAGCAGACTGCCACGTCTTTCTCCCAAGAAGCGGCTGGGGGGTTCATACTGCCAACATTTTGGTTAGCAGCCGAGTACTTAACCACTGCACCACCAGGGCTCCTTGTTTTAAGATTAGAACTTGGTAAATTGCTTCTCTTACCAAAAATCATTGTCAGTAATTAAGGATATTCACAAAGTGGTCTCCCCCTCCTCCCGCACAGTTAGAGTGGGCACTATGTCAGGAGATAAAGAAGAATAGCAGTTGTGTCTGTGATTTGGAATCTGTTTGGCCTGGATTTGTTTGTGAAATAAATCTGGATGAAGTCTATAATGTACTTAAGATCACACATACGTCACTGTATCTGTATGTCACACCCATGGACATTGGCCCAGCCTACTAGAAACTTCCAAGAAGAGTTTTAGGGTTATTTTCCCCTTTTATTAAATAGAAAGCCTATTTATTTTTGTATATATTGTTACCAACTGCCTTACTGAATTCGCGCATCGTTTGTAGTAATTTTTCGTTTGATTGTTTGGGACTTTCCAGATACACAATCATATCCTCTACACACAATGATGATTTTTCCTGCTCCTCAACTATTTCTTTCTCTTATCTAATTGCATTGGCAACTACCTCCAGAACAACATTTGGAATTCTCAGGACTGTGCAGGAAAGCTTTTTGTTTTATAATCTTGGAATTTGGTAGAAGACTTAAACGTATCTCAGATGTCTTTTGGGACTACTGATGCCTGTACTCTTGTCTTCCAGGCCCAGCTTCGGGCATTTATCCCAGAGATGCTCAAGTACTCCACAGGTCGGGGAAAGCCAGGCTGGGGGAAAGAAAGCTGCAAGCCTGTCTGGTGGCCTGAAGATATCCCATGGGCAAATGTCCGGAGTGACGTCCGCACAGAAGAGCAAAAGCAGAGGGTGAGTTGCCCATTGCTTTTCCTTTCTGTATCAACCACCCCAATTTTTGTCATTTTTACTTCTTATGCTAAAGAGTCTTTAAAAAATTGTATGTAATAGTCAAAAGATGTTTACTATTAATCACTCCATCACTGTAAAGAGAAGACTTGAATGGGTCCATGAATTTACACTTCTCTCTTCATAGTTGCCTTTTGGAGCAGTTTTAATTTTATGAGATGCTTGGGTAAACCAGAATAAACTTGACATAAAAGTGCTTATCGCTTTGAAGAGTTAGACTCACTGTTGAGAAATGTAAATAGCATGGAATTAGAGAAATGAGACGTCTGCCAGGTGAGTCTGCTGATAAACTTCTTTTCAAAAAGAAAAGAGACTAAGCTAGACATTATTCCTTCCTTTTTCTTCATATTTGTTTTTTTATTGAGCTTGGATGTTTACTCAGAATCTTTATATAAAATTCTTGACCAGACTAACTTCCTTTGTGAGAAGTTTAGAGTTAGTCCTCAGCTTGGAATAGAATATAAAACCCGAAAGCTAAACCAGATTTTGATCAGGAAGAAAGCTGGTGGGAAACCTACTTGGTGCTGATTTTCTTTGTGCTAGAATTGGTCTGTAGGAAATGTTCCCAAGAGAGTTTATTCTCTGTGAGATTTGGTTTGGTTTGATAAATAAGCAACTGCTTATTCCACAGTGGGACTGAATAACCAAAGTTCTTTGTTACTTAATATGCTTTTCTGGTCTTTTGGTGGCAGGTTTCATGGACCCAGGCACTACGGACCATAGTTAAAAACTGTTATAAGCAACACGGGCGGGAGGACCTTTTGTATGCTTTTGAAGATCAGCAAACACAAACACAGGCCACAACCACACATAGTATAGCCCATCTTGTACCGTCACAGACCGTCGTCCAGACCTTTAGTAACCCTGATGGCACTGTCTCACTTATCCAGGTGAGTGAACCTATGGTGTCCACATTGTGGTGTCTGAGATGGGTCAGTTGGCACATCAGACTGGAGAAAGTCTTCTTTGCCCATACTCTTGTATGAACTTTATATAGCTCCCCAACCCCAAGATTTTTCCTACCCGAAGTTGATTTCTGAAGAATATTGTAAATGGGTTGCATTTGCTAAATAGATAGCTGTGAATAGCTTTCCTGGACACTTCCAAAATAAAAAACAGCTAGCACTTTAAAATGACTTCTTTTTTTAACTGTTTCACTCTGTCAGTGGCCAGGGAATATTTTTTCTGAGGTAGAATACAATTTGTTGATAGGTGGTGTGAGAGTAGAAAATTGTTTGAATGACACTGGGGGCTGGTGATGAACTGTGATAGCTCATCTAACCTTGATTTATTTAGTTGAAGTAAAACTCTGATACTCTTGTTAGTTACTGAGATATGATTTTAGTAACTCATTTCATTGGGCATGTTAATTGTTACCTGTTCTGGGTTAGGAATTAAATGACTCTTAACTTCTGAGTAAAGGAGAGGCGGGAAGATTCGCTTACCGATACAACAATACTTTCTGTATTTTTCTTTAGGTTGGCACAGGGGCAACAGTAGCCACACTGGCTGATGCTTCAGAATTGCCAACCACAGTCACTGTTGCCCAAGTGAATTATTCTGCTGTGACTGATGGCGAGGTAAGAACGAGGATTCAGTCTGCAGTGCCTCATTTAAATGCTTACTTCAGTGTGTAGGTGAGGGGGGAGTGAGGGGCCAGAAGGTAGAGAGACTGAAAGTAGTCTACATGTCTGCAGCATGATTTTCCTTAAACTTTTTTAACACCATACCATGATCATTTTGTAAAGAATATTATACTGTATATTAATTATAACAATTGAAATTTATGGATCATTATGACTCTAACTTAACTACCAGGAGCTTACAAATTTACATTTGTAATATAGCATTTTGTATAATACACAATGAAAAAGGTTTATGCATTTAATACTTTTGTGCTGTGAATCTCAAAGAATTTTGTCTTTGGACTTTATGCAAAAAAATTAGATCATTTAAAGCAGAGCTGACTAGGGTAAGCGTTCTTGGAAGGGATAAACGTATTTGTAAATCAGTAGACATGATTTATTATATGTTAAACATGAATTTGAAAGGGTTTTACAGGAGAACCCTTCCCTACTAAAATGGAGGTGGCTATGGGACTGGGAGGTAATGTTTTTAAATGGATAGATAATTGGTTCAAATAATAATAGGAAGAATAACTAACCTTTATTAAGCACTGACTTAACCAAACCTTCCATCCTATGAAGTATAGGTCCTGTTATCATCTCCATTTTATAAATTAGAAAAAACTAAGATGTGTAGAGTTTAGGTGACTTACCCAAAGTCACAGAGTTAAGTGCTGAAGCTGAGTAATGTATTTAGAAAACATTATCTAGGCTCTGAGCTTTGAGCCATCACTTAAGATTCAGGAAAGGGCTCATCAAGTGACTGTGGGCTTTTCCCCTAAAGACACTAGTGTGGTGTACTCGTGAAGTTTGAAAAATAGCCAACAAATGTCAAAGAGCAGTATCACAAATAAAGCTAAAAGTATTGCCTCACCGTTGTTCAAAACCCTTGTTCACCTAGCACACCACAAAGTAACTTCCCTTTATGCCCCGCAGCAAAAGGTGAGAACTGCTCTTGAGGTGAGGAGGAGGGCACACCCGGGCTCCTGGGTCAGCCAGCACATACTGAGCCCCTGCCATGTTGCAGGGACATGTCAGAGCATGTGGAGTTGAGTTACCCGGGAACCGTGCTCCCAGGAGCTCTGTCTAGAGCAGGGGAAAGAGATGTACAGAAACGAACTCTGGCGCGTGCTGGAGAAGGTTAGAGATGCTGTCAAGTGGTTATGCCTTAAGAGGGAGAGAATACTTCCAGTTAGGGAGCCTGGGAAGGTTTAGGGCAGGAGATGGCTTTTGGTTCTTCAGTGTAGAAAAGTCAAGAGAATATTTACTTTGTATGTGTGTGTGTGTGCTTTAGGTGAAAGTTTACAGAGCAAATTAGTTTCCCAATCAATACTTTATACACAAAGTATTCCATGACATTGGTTGCAATCCCCACAGTGTGTCAGCCCTCTCCCCATGTCTACCCTGAGTTCCCCATTCCCGTTCGTCCAGTTTTCCTGCCTCTCCCTGCCTTCTCATCTTTGCTTTGGGCAAATGTTGCCCTTTTGGTCTCATATAGTTGATAGTTCTAAGGAGCACTTTCCTCACGGGTGTTATTGTTTATTTTTTAGGCCTGTCTATTATTTGGCTGAAAGGTGGTCTCCAGGAGTAGCTTCAGAGCCAAGTTAGAAGGGTGACTAAGGGCTATAGTCTTGGGGGTTCCTCCAGTCTCTGTCAGACCAGTAAGTCTGGTCTTTTTTATGGATTTGGATTTTGTTCTACATTTTTCTCCCACTCTGTCCAGGACTCTCTATTGTGATCTTGGTCAGAGCGGTTGAGGGCATTTACTTTTAAAAGTATTTAAGTATCATAAATGGGTATGGGTTAGCTGAGGAAAAAATTCGCCAGTTCCAGAACACTAAAACCAGAGGACACACCTTGAAAAGTGAAAGAGAAGACACTGGTGGGTACACTTATGCAATTTGTCACTTTTTGGCTTAGTCAAAGTTATCAACCATATTTTCCTCCTGTATGGATGTTCCCTGGTGCTATTTAAGAAAGTAACTTTGGGCTTCAAAAACATTTCTCCGGGGACAAATTCTTTGAAAACCATTTTACTAAATAAATTCACACATACAGAGGTAGTCAGTTTATTCAAAAATCTGTGAAAAGTATGAGGGCCTTATTAAGTGACCATAAAGCTCAGTCACACATCTATGGCTTTTTCAGCACACTAGCATCATTTTTAAGTCATCAGTTGCAGGCCTGAATGAATGGCATATAGAAACTTTTAATATCCTTTTGGTAAATACCCAAACTCAGATTAAAAAAAAAAAATTCTAAATCTTCTCACACTTCCATTGAAACACAAATGAGATCAGGAAGAGAAAAAACATAGATTATCTCAGAGAGTGCTAACACGTTTTAGATTCTGTAATGTTTGTTTGCCTTAGGTGTTGACACAGTTGTTAGTTTTGAACTATAAGAACTGTGTTTAGTCAAACATCTCACTGATATGAGGTAGATAAGACCACACCAATGCCACTGTGACTCAGTAGCACACCCTGCTTCCTTATACTTAGTATCTTTTTCCCCAGTAAACAGTATCTTTGCTGTGAGTCAGAATCAAGTTGATGGCAATGGGTTAAAGGTTTTAAGGTCAGTTTATTATCTTGACCTTACCAGTGAGCCCTGACCCGTTAGACCACACTGCCTTCAATGTCCAGTTACGTTTCTGAGGAGGACCTTTGGGAGCCTGTCTCTTTTGGTGATACGATCTCCCAAATCTGTTTATTGAATGTTCTCTTTGAGCGGAGAATACCTAGTAGTCTGAGTAGTACAAAGAAAAAATTATCTAGCTTTAACTAGTTAAAAATTAGTTAGAAACACAGAAGAAGTTACATAGACATTTACAAATAAACATGGAGTGTCAAAATAATATAGAATGAACTGTATGTTGATTTAAAATATTTATACAATTTTTAAAATTTGTTTTTTGTTGTTGAGCCTATACACAGCAGAATATACACCAGTTCCTACATGTACAATTCAGTAAGATTATTTTTATAATTTTGACTTTGATGGATGGCATATTTATAAATACAGATAGACTTGAGAATTTATTCTTTTGTATGGTAAGACCAGAGTCCTGGTGGTGCAGTGGTTAAGAGCTCGGCTGCTAATCAAGTTCGAATCCGCCAGCCACTCCTTGGAAACCATATAGGACAGTTCTCCTCTGTCCTATAGGGTCGCTATGAATTGGAATTGACTCAACAGCAACGGGTTTGGTTTTTTTGGTATGATAAGACTACCAGTTGGTATTTGACGATATGTCGTATAATTGTGTTATGTGTCTGAAGAGTCAAAATTTGAAATAGAATGGTATCTGATAATAATGGTATATAAGTGATTTTCCTGTTAGAAGAAAAAAAAAAACCAAGATGCAAAGACAGACATGAATTTTAAACTGAACCATCAACACATATAATAGTTCTGAAGTTGCACGGTTCGTTTTAGGTAGATTTTATATGAATACTAGTTTACCTAAAGTATGTAGGCTGCAGAACAAGTAAGAAATTGTGACTGTAGGAGTATGTTCAGCCATCCATTCAGTAGATCATTTTCTGAGCCCTGTGCCAGGCACTATGATACAGACTCATGAAGACTGCCCTTTCCCTCAGGGAGCACACAGGTGATGGAGAAAAACCATCAGAGAACAGTTGCGGTAAGGTAAGAGATCTGGTAGAAACAAGCCCAGGGTACCATGGAACCCCGCAGAGAGGTCCTCAACTTGGACTTTAGGGAGTGGGGTTGTCTCAAGAAACATCTCCCGATGGAATAACACCTGAGGGCAGCTAGAAGGGAGCGTAGTGAGACAAAGGGATGGGAGTTGTGTTCGGATCAGAGGAGCCGCATGTGCAGTGCAGTGGTTGTGGAAGCTTGGAATAGTGCAGGTGGCTGCTGGAGGGAGAACAGCAGCCACAGTTTGAGAGGCTTCGTTTTAGTGCGTCTCTCAGAAAAGCATAGAAACTAATGGTATGTGCTCTGAATCTCTTCCCCTCCTAGGGCTTGTGGCCCTTTCTTTGGGATACAGTGACATTCTGGCATAGACAACTACACACTGGCTCCCAACAGATGGGAAGGGAGCACAGCAAGAGCTCAAGCAAACACAGCTAATGCACCGAGACTCAGTAATAGGGAATTCCAAGAAGTGTTCAACCTAAGCAGATTTCTTTGTCTACTGCCATTTTTCTGATTAGAAATCTCTTCGTCTGCTTCTTCCTTTTCCCTCTCTACCCTACTACTGCCATCCCCACTACTCATTCTTATCATATAATTTAACTTTCTTAAGTTAAACTGTATATGGCAACATTTGAATACTGTTTTCACTATAAATATAGTTTTAGCTATAGATATAAAACCAAATCAACCAAACTTGTTGCTGTCGAGTTGATTCTGACTCGTAGTGACCCTATAGGACAGAGTAGAACTGCCCCATAGAGTTTCCAAGGAGCAGCTGGTAGATTCAAACTGCCAACCTTTTGGCTAGCAGCCAAGCTCTTAAACTACAAATTTAGTTGTAACTAAATGTGTACATGTTGAATGGCTCCACTAGAGTACAACCTCTTGGGAGAGGTGTATTGGGCCGGGCCCCGGGGGGCAGGGGGGCCATGGTATGGGCTAGACTAGCAGGGTGAGTCTGGAAAGAGAACTGCTATTGATGGCAGTAGGTGACTGTGCTGCCCAGCTTCAACCAGTGTTTCCGGTGGAATCATTGGCCATCTAAGAACGGACAGTGTAGCTTACCATCTAAAGTGGCATTGTTCACAATGATGCTCATTGGAGTGATGAGATCAAAGTGATAAAACCTTGGGAAGCAAGCATTTTGTGAGTTCCTGAGTGGGTGACTTTGTAGCTCTAAAGGAAAGAAATAGGATATCTCTGTAGTGACGGGCCCTGATGGCTTGCTGGCACATTCTACTACCCATGAGAACTCGGGCAGATCGTAAGGCAATGCTAAGGAATGTCTCATTCTTGGACAGGCTTTTGACAAAAATTCTGAGATGCAGTATCATAATCTAAGTATAGGAATGGAACCTGTTACCCAAAGCAGGAGGAGGATTTGAAACATCTGCCACTCCTAGAGCTTGTAGCACTTTCTTGAGGACATAGGAGTGACCTGCAGTCGTGATATCACCACTCCCTGGGGCTCCCTAGGCCACAGCAATGTGAGGTGGGTGCAGCACATGCTCCTAAGCACAGCCAGCAGCCTAGATCCCAGAGTTCACCAGAAGTCCACACCTGCTGATTTACTTACCACCCACCATGCTTCTGATTAGAAATTGCTTCCGCTACCCTTGCTGCTTTTTGTTTTTTGAGGGGGGCAATTAGCCAGGCAGTATTTATTGGCCAAAACAGACTGGAGTTGGCTAGATACAGCTATAAATGCAAAGCACTCTGCTAAAATCAGTAGTCTTCAACTGGGGACAGGCTTGTTCCCTGTCCCCCAGGACATTGGGCATCAGCTGGAGACATTTTTATTGTCATGACCAAGGCAGGGTGCTGGTGGCATCTAGTGGCCAGGGATGATGCTAAACATCCTACGATGCACAGGACAGCCCCCAAGACAAAGAATTATCTGATACAAAATGTCAGTAGCGCTGAGGTGGAGAAATCTGTGCTAGATCTAACAAAGCTGGACTTTCATCTGCTCCGCACCAATGATTATATATCTGTGTGGTTTGGGATTTTTTCGTTTGTTTGTTTTTTGGTATCTTCATAATTCCACCCATTAAAAGGAATGTGTGTTTTTAATATGTTTAAAATATATATATTTGCTGAGTTTGGCAGTATCCCTCAAAAATAAAAATATGAAATACCTTTCATCTACAGTTCTAGCCCTAGGAATTTACCTTATAAATAGACCCACATACAAAACATCAAAAGAAGATAGAAGGAATACACAGAGTCACTATACCAAAAAGAACTGGTCGACTTTGAATCATTTCAGGAAGCTGCATATGATCAAGAACCAAATGGTACTGAAAGAAGAAGTCCAAGCTACGCTGAAGGCATTGGTGAAAAACAAGGCTTCAGGGACTGACAGAATACCAATTGAGATGTTTTAGCAAACGAATGCAACACTGGAAGTGCTCGCTCGTCTGTGCCAAGAAATTTGAAAGACAGCTTCCTGGCCAACAGACTGGAAGAGATCCATATTTGTACCCATTCCAAAGAAAGGTGACTCAACAGAATGTGGAAATTATCAAACAATATCATTAATATCACACAAAAGTAAAATTTTAATGAAGATCATTCAAAAGCGGTTATAGTAGTATATCAACAGGGAACTGTCAGAAATTCAAGCCGGATTCAGAAGAGGACGTGGAACTAGGGATATCATTGCTAATGTCAGATGGATCTTGGCGGAAAGCAGAGAATACCAGAAAGATGTTTACCTGTGTTTTATTGACTATGCAAAAGCATTCATCTGCATAGATCATAACAAATTATAGGTAACATTTCAAAGAATGGGAATTCCAGAACACTTAACTGTGCTCATGAGGAACCTGTACATAGATCAAGAGGTGTCATTTGAACAGAACAAAGGGATACTGTGTGGTTTAAAGTCAGGAAAGGTGTGCCTCAGGGTTGTGTCCTTTCACCATACTTATTCAGTCTGTATGCTGAGCAAATAATCCAAGAAGCTGGACCATATGAAGAAGAACAGGGCATTAGGATTGGAGGAAAACTCATTAACAACCTGAGTTATGCAGATAAGGCAACTTTGCTTGCTGAAACTGAAGAGGACTTGAAGCACTTACTGATGAAGATCAAAGATCACAGCCTTCAGTATGGATTACACCTCAACATAAAGAAAACAGAAATCCTCACAACTGGGTCAATAAGCAACATCATGATAAATGGAGAAAAGACTGATGTTGTCAAGGATTTCATGTTACTTGGATCCACAATCAACACTCATGGAAACAGCAATCAGGAAATCAAACAACACATTGCATTGAGCAAATCTGCTGCAAAAGACCTCTTTAAAGTGTTAAAAGGCAATGGTGTCACTTTGAGGACTAAGGTGTGCCTGACTGAAGCCATGGCATTTTCAGTTGCCTCATATGCGTGTGAAAGCTGGACAGTGAATAAGGAAGACCAAAGAATTGACACCTTTGAGTTGTGGTGTTGGCAAAGAATATTGAATATACCATGGACTGCGAGTAGATTGAACAAATCTCTCTTGGAAGAAGTACAACCAGAATGCTCCTTAGCAGTGAAGATGGCGATACTTGGTCTCACATACTTCGGACATGTTATCAGGAGGATCCAGTCCCTGGAGAAGGACATCATGCTCGGTAAAGTGGAGGATCAGCGAAAAAGAGGAAGACCCTCAATAAGATATATTGACACAGTGGCTACAACAATGGGCTCAAGCATAACAACGATCATGAGGATGGCGCAGGACCCGGCAATGTTTCGTTCTGTTGTACGTAGGTCACTCTGAGTTGGAACTGACTCAACGGTACCTAACAATAACAATAATTAAAGTAATGTATAAGGATATTTATCAAAGCACTGTTTGTAATGGCAAAAGACTCAAAACCACCTAAATGCCATTATGAGATAGCTGATTAAATAAAACATGGTGTGTCTATATAAAACAATGCTGTGCTGGCATTATTATGAATCATGAACAAATGAAGCTGTTTTATACATTCTAAAATGAAATCATTTTAGAGATGTATTGTTTGTGAAAAAAGTAAGGTATTAAAGATACATAGAATATACTACTATTTTCATTTTTAAAATGGGAATAGCGAAAAGGGGGAAATGGGGTGTGTGTGTGTGTACTTCTGTAAATACGCTTGTATATAGATAGAATATCTCTACAAAGGTACACAGAAATAGGTAGCAGTAGTTGCCTTTAAGCAAAGGATCTGGAGTACTAGCATTATATTCACTTTGGTATAGTTCAAATTTTTTATGATTACGTTTACTGTCTATTAAAAATGTTTCATTTTTGAATAGGTAATATATTGATATGGGTCAAAAAAATGTAATATTAAAAAGTATACAGTGGGGAAAAAAAAGTATACAGTGGGAAGTCTTGCTTCCTGTCCCCATCCAGTCTGTCCCACAACCTCCCCACCAGACTCCAGTGGTTTCCTTTTGTGTGTCCTTCCAGAATTTCTTTATGCAAATAGAAGCAAATTCAAATGTATATTCTATACCCCTTCCTTTCTTACATAAAAGATAGCATACTAAATACCCTGTTCTGTACATTGTAGGTCATATAAATGTAAAAGTGTGTGAGGATATGTATTTTGCCAAGCACGTAGCAATTTATTAGAGAAATGATTCTTTAAAAAATCATAACCGTTTTGTGGCTTTGAATTTTTACTATCGTGTTCTTTCTGCCTCAGGTGGAACAGAATTGGGCCACGTTACAGGGAGGCGAGATGACCATCCAGACAACACAAGCGTCAGAGGCCACTCAGGCAGTGGCATCATTGGCAGAGGCCGCGGTGGCAGCTTCTCAGGAGATGCAGCAGGGAGCTACGGTCACCATGGCGCTCAACAGGTAGAGGCAGGGGTGGAGGCGTGATTGAGGATCATGTATTTGTCCCTAGATGGGGAATGAAGCCCTTAAAAAGAAATGCTGTATCTCAGTTTGTCAGAAGTGGAAATTGGAGTTTTTTATAACCCACCTATTGCCATCAAGACGATTCTGACTCATAGCAGCCCTATAGGACAGAGTAGAACTGCCCCATAGGGTTTCCAAGGCTGTAAATGCTTATGGAAACGGAGCAGGTGGTGGGTTTGAACCACCAACTTTTGTTAGCAGCCAAGCACTTAACGACTGCGCCACCAGGACTCTCTTTGACACTCCCAGCCTGTAAGATACTGTAGGTTGGCTTCTAGTCAGCCCTCACCACCCCCCACACTAACCACTCTCCAGCAAGCAGTTCAGCCTTTCTAACCTCCACCTCAAGCCTACTGGTTGACCCCTCACTTAATCCTATTCTCTGCCCATTAACGGACCCAAAGTGGCAAGGTTTGAGTTTTTACCAAACTCTGAGCCCCTGTTTTAAAGGGACCAGAGATTATCTAACAAATCAAAAAGCTTCAGGACTAATTGTCCTTTTATTCCTATAAAGGAAACTGCTTTTGTTGGCTATGGGGTTATTCAGCCATGTTTAAGCAGGTCAAGAGTTGGTTTTACTGGCTTCTCAGGAAATTTATTTCCCTTGGTTATCAGTGACTTCAATATGAAATAAGTTTTGGGTTATTGGGAAAATAATTGAAGGTTTTTTATTCAGGTATGGGGGTAGTCCAGTAAGAGGTCATTTCCGAAACAACGTTGTATTCTTCCCAGCTCAGTTCCTTCCACTGGTTGTTGACAGAGTTGGAAAGATCCGATCATTCTTCTCAGTCTTCATTTCTGTCACAAATTTATTTTCAGTGAGCCCAGCCATTTTAACTAATGGTTAGGAGTATGGGCCTTGGAGCCAGATTACCTGAGTTTGAATCTCAGTTCTGTCACTTACTAGCTGTGTGACCTCGTACAATTTACTCTCAATGCCCCCGCTTTCCTCTTCTGTAAATGAGGGTAATAAAAGTGCCTGCCTTGTAAGGGTGTTGCGAGAACTGGATAAGTTAATGCGTGTGAGACCTCAGGTCAGTGCCTGGCATGTAGTAAAGATTAGCTGCTGTTGTTACTACCCACAGTAGCTATTAGTTTCAGGTAGTTATTCAGCTTACTCTACTAGGTAAGGCTGTAAAAAATAATATATATATATATGTATATATACTCCAAGATATCATCTCTGCTTTCAAAGAAATCATACTCTTTTAAGGGAGACTGATTTTAAGTAAAACACTTAGCCAACGGTATTATTCAGATTTTAAATCACTGTTGAATTGTGCAGTGCAGACTACAGACATTGCAGAAATCCAGAAAGGGGAATCACCTCCCCCAGAATATTACAGTCAGCTCAAGTTTAGATTGGATGTGATATTTACTAGAGAGCCATGATGGGTTTGTGCCTAAAAGATTTATATGAGGCTGGACAGCATTGTGGTGGAGAAGAGAGTTCTGATGTCACACAGGCTCAAGTTGGAATCCTAGTGCCACCACTAGCCATTTGATCTTGAGAAGCTTGACCCCCGAGCCTCAGTTTCCTCATCATTCTAATGGAGCTAATACTCACCAGAGAGAGCTGAAAGGATTCAGTGAGATGATGTCTATAAAACTCTTTGTTGAAGTGCCTAGCCCATAGTTAGCACTTCACAAATTATAGTTAGTATCATTTAAAATTCTATTTAAGATTGTTCTATTCAGAATTGACTATAGTGAGAAGATATTGGAAATAGAAGACTAGTTAGGAAGGGGCAGTCTAGGCGTGCCTTGGAAAGTAAAATCATAAGAATGGAGAGAAAATGACTGATCTAGAGGAAGTATGACCAGGACTTGGTGGTGGAGTAAACACAGAAAACTGAAACGCATGCACAGACAGCCATTCTCCCTAGTTAGCCAGCAAATCTGTGAGTGACCTGGCCTATTAGATTATGTTGCTTTTCAGTAACATGAAAGTCTTACTTGATTGCTTACACTTTGGCTCAATCCCACTCCTTCCTTTGAGAGAAAACACCCAGATAAACTTCCTGAAAGGCATGGCCAGAGTGAGAACCTCTCTCCCTTTGGTCCGGTCACCTGCACCGTAGCGTGGAGCCTGATAGGCCATCATGAAAGACCAGCAGGACTTGATTTCATTGAGGCTTCCAGCCAGCACCTTGGATATTCCAGTGAAGTGTCAGTGTCGTGGAAACCCTGAACATCGTGGAAAATATGAGGCACATTTGGGCTCCCTTTGCTGGGAGGTCCAGGCTTATTTCCAAAGGTAGGAGGGTGATGGTTTCCCTGGAGGGCTTGTTAGCAAACTCAGATGCAGCTGAGGTGGCTACAGTGTTTACTCTGAAGGAAGGAGAATGTGGTTCAGTGTGGGATGGAGGAGGAGTAAGGAGATGTTGAAATCTGTTTGCAATCAGATAGTCCAACACCCAGTGAGTGTCAGGGGATGGGGTGTTTCAGCTTCTGCAGGGGGTGGAGAAGCCCAGCCTGGCCAGGAAGGGTCTGGAGACTGTAGCAGGCTATTAGAGGAGCATGGGGGCTTTCTGACTCCAGGAGAGGTCACCTGCTGTCTGACGCTTTAGTCAGGAGCCTTTGATCTAAGACTAAAGCCCTTGGTGTTTGCTTCTGTGTGGGATGAGGCATACTGGCATACTTCTCTCCTGCATTCCCAGCCTGTTCCCAGAATTTGTTGTTGGAAGTCACTTTAGTGAAACACAGAAAGCTGGTCCTCGTTCCTGTGGTAACAAAATGATTTCCTACCTTGGCCCTGTGCAGTCTGCCTAGGTCTCAGGTACAGGTGGAACAAGTGTGGCTCCCTAGTAATCACCTGCAACCCTGCTCACTGTAAACAGCAGGTGTGGGTGGAGGGTGAAAAGGGAGAGGCAGGCTGCATGCGATGGCAGGTGGGGACCAAGACGTGGGGGCTCCTTCATCTGTTGGGGGAGAGGGATTAGGACACATGCAGTACAGACTTGTTTTTCAGCTGTGCTGTTAAAAGAGTTTTGTCCAGCAAGTCGGAACAAGGGCCCTGGGCTCCACAGCCTTTAGTCTCCCCTGGCTTTATAGCAACCCAAAGAGGGTAGGGAGGAATTGCCATTAAAAAATCTGGAACCTGTGTTAATTTTAATTTTCAAAATAAATAATAAATCAGCACTTTCAGGAAGGAGGTGGGGTAGAAATCAGAACGAATAAATAAAGAACAGAGCAGCACAGCTCCAGAAAAAGTTGAGCTATTCAGCCTGAATATCTAGAAAGGAGAGGAAATGACCTCATCATGTATTTGTTGTGATACAGTGATTAATTGAAGCTGGTTAAGCTGTCCTAGACTTATATTCATTCTTAAACAAGTTCTTCTGCAAAGTGCAGCCCTTGCATATAGAGATCCATGATAAATATTAGTAGAACGAATCTACACTTATCCCAGTAGGAGTTCACGGTGTCTTGTGCAGCCACGCTGGGGAAAACGGGCGGAAGTCAGTACCTCTTCTCAAAGAAGTTAGGGTTTGCTGTTGTTTTGTTGTGAAGAGACTTTGCTTAAAAAAAAGTGAACCATATTTTTAAAGAAAAAAAATAGCTCTTTTTTTTTAAGTGAAAATATCGTTTACTTAAAATTAGAGATATTAATAAAATAGAATATGGCTTCAATATATGGACTGGTATTTGACCAGTAAAATGGGATTGAGAACCTAAATGAGACCTCCTCTCTGGAAATGGAGGGCAGAAACTGTGCAGCTGCTTTTCTTTCCTGTAGACAAAGCCTGGGCACTTCCAGATAGAAAGCTGATGGAAGCTTCTCATTTGTAACTAGCATGGAAATGACTTTTGTCTAAAATTGTGAAGTCACCGTTTTGAAAGTAAAGGTGATCTTTTCTAGCAGTGTGGTTTGGTCTTTCCCATGCAGTCTGTGTAAATGGTTAGGATAGACTGAAAGGATAGGCCTGCTGACCATGAAGAGTAGTCATTGTCTTAAGCCCCCGTCCCTGACCGGCCTTGGGTAACTAACCTCGCCCACCCTGGCACCCTGTCGGACCCGTCATCTCCAGCATCGCATGTTATCTTAGGTGTTGCTGGTTCTCTATATTTGGTCAGGCTGACTCCGATCACAGCTCTTCTTCTATCACACCATACTTTAGAAAAGCATCGAGGAAAATAACTTCAAATGTTTAGAGCTTCAGATATACTCAAATGAGTGTGATCAGGTACAATTACACTCTCACATAAGGGCTTGGGGAGCTGCCCTCCTTCCTCTCCACCTGCAAGCATGTGTCCCGGCTGTGCACGAGTGGAGGATGTCACCTTTGTAATAAAATGGGGACCGAGAAGTCACTGGGGTAACTAAGAACAAAGACCCTATTTCCATATAAATACTTCTCATATACCAGCTTCTTTCTCCAAAATACCACACAGCTGCCTCCAGAGAGTATATTCTTCAGCTTTCCTTGAAGTCTCAGGTCATATGTTAAATATTTTTATATTGCTCCATGATATCTGGGCACTATAAAATTGACTGGTGGCATTGTTTATTAACACACATTTCTCAGAAAAATATTAGAAATTAAGGACCTAGGCACTAAATAATCATTCATTAGACTGTCTCTGATAAATACTTATGAAACACTTTAAAATTAAAATTTACCATGTAAAATGTAACAAATAACCTTAGTAGTAATTCCAAATCAAGTGTCCTCTTTTGCTTTGAGTTCACATTACAGCTACTGTGGAATGATGGCTGTAGGTATCAAATCACTGAGAAGTATATTTCAGCATCCAGCATGGTCTTAGCTTTTATATGGACAGCTTGAAGCTCTATGGTTCTTTTCAGCTTTTTATTCAGCCTGAGTTATGGCCTACATTTTGGGTATGCAAATAAATTTAAAATATATAATCATGACTTTGAACTAAATCAGAGGAAACCTGGAAATAAAATTTTGTTTCTCTCTTCCGCATGGAAGCATTTGCCTCACGTAAATGACTACAAGAAAGGAGAGAAATCAGCAGTTTTGCATTTATCATTTTAAATAAATGTCAAAGATTATTTACACGAGGAAGTATAATGTTAAGTGAAAAACCAAACCCAAACCTACTGCCATTCAGTCGATTCTGACTCATAGCAGCCCTATAGGATAGGGTAGACCTGCCCCATATCCAAGGCTGTAAATCTTTTCGGAAGCATACTGCCACATCTTTCTCCTGAAGAGTGGCTGGTGACTTCGAGCCACCAACCTTTCAGTTAGCAGCTGAGCACTTTAACTGCTGCACCACCAGGGCTCCTTAAGTGAAAAAAGCAAGATATAGAACTGTAGGTACAATATGATCCTAATTATTTGTTTAAAGTTGTACTTCAGATTAGAAGGAAATAACTTATCTCTATGGTATTTTTAATTTTCTTTTATATGTAATGAGATTTTTTCCAAGTTTTCTACATGTATTACTTTTACTGTCAGAAAAAGATAACTTTTTAAATACATAGACATAAAAATTAAAAAGCAAGACAAGTTAATTAGAAACCTTTTATATTAAATAAGACTTTTCTGTCCATTGAGTTTCTTTCATTGCCTCCCAGAATCTTTATAGTGACCAAGAACTACCATGTCTGTTGCTGTACTCGTCTGTGGACTTTCTTAGGTGAAAGTGACACTATTGAGCTTAATACTGGTTGCATTGCCCACAGGTGTGACACCTTTACCCTAAACCAATCCACATCCCCTTATCTATCCCTGCTTACAGCTTGCGATTTCAAGATGATCACCCATAACTACATGAAGTCTGCAGCTTCAGAGCAAGCTGAGTCAACTGGCTTATGTGGTTATCCAGCCCAGGCCTTTGTCCACCTCTGCCAAACTCAGCGACACGACCTTTTCTATTCCATGCCCACGTTTGATATTCTCTCAGTAACTGCTAACTAGCACCTGATGTTTTCTGAGGAGAGATTCTGAATTTATCTGTTTTCTTGTGTTTTAACATCTCTGAAATTTGGATGACATATTACAATTATAATTGTCAAGAAATTTTCTTTCTTATTAGCACAAAAAATAATAGTATATTTTACAGTTTGTGGCCCTGGTGGCGCAGTGGTTAAGTGCTTGGCTACTAACTGAAAGGTCGTCATTTCAAACCTCCCAGCTACTCCACAGGAGAAAGATGCGGCATTCTGCTTCTGTAAAGATTACATACAGCCTTGGAAACCCCATGGGGCATTTCTGCTCTGTTCTGTAGGGTCTCTGTTAGTCGGAATTGACGTCGATGGCAGTGGGTTTGGTTTTGGTTCTTAGCATCATAGAATCAATAAAATGCGTGTTCATATATTTAGGAAAAGCATATAGGAGGGAAAAGAAAGAAAAATGTGACAAAATGCTAGAGTAGTGTTTCTGTTCTATTAAACAGATGGTTAATAGCTTTCTGTCTGTTCTACAGAGTGTCTGCTCTGCAGTGAAGGGAGGTTTATATTTCGTTGTGTTCATAGTGTCAAGGAGTTTGCGCTTATAGTGAGAATTTTAGAACGGAAGTATTGAGCTTAGCACTGCCTGCTTGTACAGTGAAGCAAAGGGGGAAGAGTTTGACTTTTCAGGATATTAGTCAGCCATTATTTTGTATTTGAAAAATGCAGATATAAGCCAAACTGTTCGTATTTAATATTAATTAAATGGCAAGTTCAGGCTGCTGACTCCTCGTTTTCTCATCCACCCTTGTCTATATGGAGCAGCTTCAGATGATCTGCCTTATGTTAGCTTAAAGAGAAAAAAGAAAACCTCGTGATTGACAGCCAAAATGGCTTTTGCACTGTGAATATGGAACAGAGCTTCCACTGTGGCTTGCAAGCGCTCAATTGATATTGATAAGGAGGACGCTAGTAATGAGTGCCTCTGTCCTCAAACACCCATTTCCTGGGCTTAAAGAAGATCTCACATTAGTTTTATAAATATGTAAGACTTGGGATTTCTCTAGCTGTTTATTATTATCATTTGAAAATCATTGCTGGCTCAGTCCGTTAGCATTGGCATCATGTATGTGCTGGTCAGCTCACAAGCACGGGGTCAGTCAAGATCGGAGGGAGGGTTGAGAGGACGGCTGATGTTGCTGCAGTGTTGTCCCCTTAGTCATCTGACACATCCCCTCTCTCCCGTTCCTGTGCCCACAGCGAAGCTGCCGCCCATGCCGTCGCCACCCTGGCTGAGGCCACCTTACAAGGAGGGGGACAGATCGTCCTGTCTGGGGAAACCGCAGCAGCCGTCGGAGCACTTACTGGAGTCCAAGATGCTAATGGTAAGAAAGCATAAATATTTTATTGAATTTCCTCCCTCTTTCCACTTAAACCTTCATGCCATGACTGACAACAAACCCTTCAGAAAGAACTGAAGCTTTGATTTGAGTTTTTCTTTATTGGTAGACATTTGATGCCTAGGAGTATCCTACGAGCCTCTGATTCCTTCACTGGTAGACTTCCTGAAAGAAAACACCATGTTGGTGGCTACCTACTTGAATTGTTTATTTGGAAAGTAACTGTTTTGCTGTGACAGGACTTGCTGAGGGGCGCTTTAAAATTTGCTCTGGGCACGTTTTGTCCTTTATTCTCCCATGGTTTATGTTGGTGCCCTTTACTGGAGCAGAGACCCTCCCGTGGGCGGGTGAATTGTGCTGAAGTGGAGTGTTCTGACCATCTCAGGAAAGATGCCACCATCTCCCCTGTCCACAGGGCCAGCAGCAGGCTGTGATGAAGGCACTTTTCTGGTTGGTACTGTGGATCCTGCATCCTGTCATACTGGCCTCACTGAGGACCTCTGGATTTAGCCAATAACCACCACCCTGCCCTTCTTCCCCAGGTCTTTGACTTCCTGAATGTTGCTGAATATCCCAAATAACAAAAGGGAATAAAGTTCATAGAAATATGGTGGCAAAAATGTACAGCTCCACCTCAGCTCTTTAGCTCTACCTCAGTGGGTGCTACCAGTCACTTACCAAGACTGGGGCTGCCCAGGAAAGTGCCTCAAAAGTCTGGTCACAGAGGGCCAGGCCTGTTCTGTGAGAGGCTATGTGACTGTTTCTTAAACTTTTAAAATATATGTAATTAAGTAGGACAAATTATGTACTCTATGGTTTTGGTAAGTTTGTTGCTTTAAAGTCTTAGAAAGTAGATAGATAAATAACATACTTTATTTAAGCAAAAGTTCCTTAATGGTATAAGTGGCTGAAAGGAAAGTTCCTGGCACTTTTTTTAGGGTAGGTCTTTGAAAAGAAATAATGCTGTGCCCTCCTTTGGAAGTGGGGACAGAAAGCACTTAGGAAAGAATAATAGGAAAAATGAAGAGCCATTATGGCTTCTGAGAATCATTGTCAGAATAACTAAAAAAATCAAATACTGAAACTTCAGCTTGCTTTTGTAACCAAGGGCTAGGGACTTCCAGGAACCAACCCAAATAGAGAGTTGATCTGAGCCAGAATGCCATAGGGTAAAGGGCTCCTTATAGCCATATCTGTTCAGGATGAAATGGACCATCTATTGAATGAAGAAAAGTCTCCCACTATAGCTAGATCCCTACCCCTATTGCTTACCTCTTTCTGTACCTTATCTGAGTCCTAATCTGCCCAGAGTAATGGTAGGATTTCTGACTACGTGACGTTCTCTGGAACTGCTAAAAATACTGCCCTGTGCGGGCTTGGTAGGAGACTTTGTTGTCCATTCTAATCATCTTGACCTTTCTGGGAGAGAAGAACAGACAGCTTTATAGTTCTGGCTCCTCTCCAGCCTCACCTTTGGTGATGGATGTATTTATAGGTAAGGCTGAGGACCCTTCGATAAATTGGAACCACACCCACTACTGCTGATTCCTGGAAGCCACCTCTTATCAACAGCCTTGGGTTGTGAATCATTTTGTGCTGGTTTCATGTCGTTGGCTGCGTTTGTAATAAGAGGAAATTCTGGCCTACATCCTAAAAGCCAGCAGTTCCCCAAAGCAGCCATCTCAGTTTGTGACTGCCAACACTTGCTGAGTTCTGGCCTTGAGACTGGGGTTAGCACTTTCTCAGTGTAGCCTTTCTGCATCAAGTCAGATCTTGAGTTGAGCCTTATCCCAGCAATGTCAGGCGAAGGCCAATCATCATATCTGCTCCTTGGGAATCCAGAGAATGAATCTAATGCAGGATGTGATCCAAATAATTCTGACACTTTTTCTGTCTTCTGACACGTTTATCCAGCATGCCGTACGATGTACTCTGGGACTGGAACCAGATTGTCTTGTTTAATCAGCAGATTTGGTATCTGGCTAGACTTTGAGGGATTCTCTTTTCATCGTTCTTTCAGATTTGTGTCCTGTGGCCAGTGTTTGTCGCTTCTATGATGGCAAGCTTATGGTGTTTGCCAGTAGACCAGCTTTATTAGCAGGAAGAACCAGATGAGAGCAGAACAAGTGCTGTTTGTGGGCATAGAACTAACTTGGAAATGAACACTACTGGGAAAAGCAGTACATCCCAAACTCCAGAGTATGGCTTAAAGAAGCGTCCTACTAGCAGAGGGCTCTTCTGAGAGCATTTTGGATATTGTTCAGATCTGAAGCAGAAGGAACTTCAGTGTCTTCTGAGCTGGCTGTAGGGGGAATGGAGGGCCACTGCACGTGGACCTCGGGCGAGTACAATACCAAGTGTGAGGTGGCGGGGCAGCGTGCAAGGGTATAAGGCAGTAGCCTGTAGGATAGTCTAAGTTAAAGATACTGACCTGTGCATGGCAGAAGCATAAGTTCCAGGTCCCCAAGGCAGACCTCATAAAAACCTTGCATCCTGAAGGCTCTCCTCACTTTTTTTTCTGGACACCTACCCCACCCCCTAGCACTGAAGGGACTACTCAAGCCCTCGCATTACCCATGTTTATTTTGTTTATGTTCTTTTTTAAAAGAGGTGAATGAGTCTTTAGTCTCTTAGAATGGAGTTTCATGGTTTGGTTTAATTTAAAGATTTTCACAGGTGCCTTTCACTGAGATGCAGGCAGAACTGTCTAGGGCTGGAAAAGGCCACTGGCTGAGGTCCTTCCTTTATCTCTTTTTTTTGTTTGTTTTTTTAACACAGTTATCCCCATACTTTGTTCCACCTAACACACCTTCAAATGAGAGGTCCTACATTAAGCCTGTTTCTTCCCCTTGTGTCTGCCATCCTTGGTGCTGGGCCCCAGGAACCCCTGTGCTATGGGTGTCAGTACCAGACAGTCTGCCCAGGCATCAGACAGAAGGCAGGCTCTCCACAGGGAGGACCAGCTCTCTAGTCAGTGCTGCACCCCTCACCAGGCCTCGCCCACGGTTTGCAATCGTCAGAGAGCCAGAGCTGGTCTCTTCCTGCCTGTTTTCAGCAGAAATAATGAAAATAAAAATTACATTACCAGTTGACCATTTCAGGATGCTCTTATGTCTGAGATCTTACTGTAGATTCATACAGCTATCTCTCATCCCTATAAACCAGACAGGGAAAAACAAAATAGACTACTGACATCTCAGGCCATCGGTAAAGGTGGTGGACTCGTCTGCTTCAGCTATTGTCCCCTCAAGCCTTTTACCAGAGCTGCTAAAAAGTATCGGCATTTTCCCAGATGGCTGACATGTCCCTAATGATGCCACGATAAAAGGGGGAACGCAGTATTTGCTGGAGGCTTTTTTATTGTCATGATTATAAAAGTCATTCATAATCCCACTATAAAGAATTTCATTTTTAGGTTTTTTTAATCTGGCTTTTTATTTTCTATTCATGGAATGTTTAACCTATTAGGATATCTTGTGACTCATTTTTGTTGAAGTGTCTTAACCATTTTTCTATCATTAAATGTTTTTTTAAAAGATCACTTTAATGCTTGCTAATATTTCATCAATTTGTCCATTGTAAGTTACCCCTATTATTGATGGAAACCCTGGTGGCATAGTGGTTAAGAGCTACGACTGCTAACCAAAAGGTCGGCAGTTCAAATGCACCAGATGCTCCTTGGAAGCCCTAAACCCTGTAGGGCAGTACTACTCTGTCCTATAAGGTTGCTATGAGTCGGAATCAACTCGACGGCAGTGGGTTTATTTTTTCTTTCAGTTGTTGGTAGTTTAAGTTATTCATAATTTTTTACAATAAATAAAATGCTGTTTATCTTGGAACCAGATCTTGCCCACATCTTTGTGTGTCTGCTCTCCGCCTCACCCATATACTTGCTTATCCTGCCAGCAGCACTGTTGAGAACCTGCTTCTTTACCCCTCACTAACACTGGATATTACCATTATTAACACTTTTTCACCTGTTTGGTAGGTAATAAATAACATCTCATTTTAATTTACATTTTTTTGTGATGTTAGTGGTAAGATTTTTTCAGTTTCTTTTTTTCATGTCTGTATCTATGTATATTTATGTTTTAATATTTGTCCATGTCTTCTGCCCATTTTTCTGTTGGGGTCTGTATCTTTCTCTTACTAATTTGGACGAGGTCTTCATGTATTAAGGATATAAATCCTTTATTGTGTCTGTTGTAAATCGTTTTTCTCAGTTTAGTCTTATTTCACCTCTTAGTTTCATTTTTATGATGTACTTTTCTTTAATTGTTTATCCTTTGCTTTTGTGCTTACAAAGTCCTTTTCTACCCTCAAAATCAGATAAACATCTGTGTTTCTCCCAGTTCTTTTATGGCTTCATTTTTTAATTTGAATATTTTTAAATATCTGGGATTTATTTTGGTGTATGGCATTAGGTAGGGATCTAAATTGATTTTTTTCTACAAAGACCAGTTATTCCAGCACTGTTTATCCCATAGAAATGTCAAAATCCATCCCTTCTACATGGATTTGTAGCTGGTCTGCCCCAGCTGTCCCTGATGGCTGTGGGATGCTCTGGTGGTGTCTGAAGCTCCCCTGCCCAGCAGCCCTGCTGTGCGTGCGCACATGCGCACACACATACAGAGGCTTCTCCCCCAGCAAGCCCACAGGTCCGTGTGTTTCTGCAGTGGCAAAATTCACAGCATCAGTTGTCAGCTGACTATCAAACTAAAGTGCTTTCAGTGAGCAGACCACTTTGCAACTAGAGAACATGTCTTCTGGTTTTCATTTGATTGGGTTGGGGGGGTACTTTTCAGAACCAGGGGTACTTGAGGGGAAGTAGATGATGTTCAGAAGGAAGTAAACTCAGCTGAAGAGTTTCTTCACCTCCTAGAAGCCTCTGCCCAGGGCTCTGCAGCCTCCCCACCTCTCTCTGAGGAACTAGATCTGGAGGGGTAGGGCTGGGGTATGTGTAGAAGGGCCAAGGAGAATGGGAG